GTGTTGTGCCGATCGTATTGCTTTAACATATGCTGTATGGATGCTCTTGTCTACTATCAAGTTCTTTGCACCCGTAAGATTCTGTACAAGAAAAAAAAATTAAAATTAAAAACAAAACATTATCAATAAGAAACTAATTAATTTGTTGATGTTAATGGTCAAGCGTGGTAGTTAATTACCTACCAAATTATTTTAGTATATGTTAAAAGTCAATTTTTATCGATGCTTAATAATTATGTGAAAAAGTAGTATAGCATTTGAAATTAACATAATTATGCATTGGAGCACAAAATAAAATAGCACAATATCATATATGCAATTTTTATACTTTCTAGTAGCAAATTTTGATATAGAAGAAAACAAACTGGATAGTGAATTTCATGTCCATATATATAAGAAGGGTGAAGCCCTCAAATTCGTGAAATTAGTGAGTTAATTAATGTCTGATCCATATCTAAAGCAAATATGCCTAGCTTTGAGTAATTAATGATATTTATCACATAAATATTCTCCATTTGGATTGTATATTCTAACCTTGGCCTCAGATTCAACAATGCCCTGTGGGAATCCCTTCACTGATCCTGAATCGATGGACCGGAATACCTATCAAAATACGGATCAAGATTAAGAAAAAATACATGGGAAAGTATTATAAGTAGGGACTTAATTCAAAGAAGACGCAAGTAAGTAAATTCGAGGATAATTTCCGGGATTCTAAGTTATTATATCCATCAAACTTTTTATGACTTGACGCCAATTTTCATTATTCATAATTCAAATGTGAGAGACATTTTCTTCTCACCTGTACATGCCAATTTTCAGGATCTTCTTCACTGCAGACGCAAACATTTTGATCACCAACAGGGCCCGAGGAGGGAGTGAGTATCCATGAAATCCGATCCACTTTTAACAACGCATCGTCATTCCACGATGCAATCTTCTTCAGCCTAAAGTCGCGCCATTTTGCTTTCTTCCATCTTTGTTCGAAATTTGTCAATACATCATACGCAGCAGGACCATCGATTTTACAATGTAAATCATGCCATGGTTGCCTTGGACCATTAGCATTAGCCTTTACATGTAACCAAAAAAAAAAAACAAATTTCAAACATCATATATATATATATATGTATGTATTTACAAAAGAAACATAACCTATGTGTGTAACTAACTAAAAAAATCACTTACTGGAAATGTAGGATTGTGGTAATCATTTTCAAGGACGGTGTCAAGATCGCGGAAGAGTGTGCTCAGGAGTGTCATATCTTCCATCGCACAAATCTAAACCACCAATGAAAGCGGTTATTTTTCGGTTGTTTCCGGCTGCCCGGGTATCAAGAACTACGCACTTCTGATGATGTGTAAAAAGGGTTCCGACAACCTGGACTAGAGGAATCAATTCAAAGCAGTGAACGTAAAAAAGGGGCTTGTCTATCCTACGTACAAGAAAAGTACTGCGTATATAAGTTGTGACATATTTATGGTGCGTTTGGTAGATGGATCTAGAATTATGATTCTGGATCCTGGTTCAGAATTGTGTTTGTTTACAATAATTCTGAATCATGATTCAGAATCAGTGTTTGGTTTGGATGATTCTGAATCATGATTCAAAATTTGATATGATGTTTTAAACTAGCTCAAATCATGATTCTAAAACCATCCCCCTCTTGATTCAAAGTGATTCAAACCTCTGATTTTGAATCATGATTTGAACCCAAAATCATGAATCATGATTCTAGTTCCAGAATAATGATTAAAATCACTATAATTTGAGTTATCGTACCAAACGAACCCTTAGTCACAATTATCATTATTTGTCACTATACACATTTTGTTTCAGCTATTTTTCCTTATATAGTAATGGAACTTGTGACATTATTAGAAATACTTTTATTTTTTATTTTTTTAACAGAATTGAAAGTTTTGAAACCTGTTGCTTGAAAATACTAAGTTTATTGCTTGCATAACGAGGACAAAGAGTGTCTGAAAAACTTTTTGGTCTCTTCGTCATGAGTCTGCATGACACCTTCCTGCAGTAGTAGTCATGAAGTTAATCAACATATGACTGACTATACGCATACATTAATTAAAGTGAATACATGTCGTAATATATAGTTAGTATAACATATAATAATTAGGTACCGACCGTTTTGAGCAGAAACTTGTCGTGTGAAGTTTTATCATCCCAAATGAGTAGAACAACTCGAACCCCTTCTTGTGACTTGTTCTTGAACAACTGTCCGAGCGAGAGTTGGCCTGCGGCTGGCAGTGGCTTTGTTCACGCGACGATACACCGACCACCCCACCAGGTATATGAGGTGGTGCGCCTCCAAAATCGGGTGGCACATGTCTTCCCAACACTTGCCTTGCTCGAAATTATGATTAGATGTTTGCGGAATTTTGATAAGCTCCAATTCAATTAAACACAGAAAGATGGCAAATTGAAGTCAGGCAGCATGCCGTCGGGCACATGAGCGTCTTGATAAAGCGTCACGCTCCCTCCTTTTCTCAGCGGGAAATAGGTGTCCGGTCCCGCCCCCACTCCGTCCTTGTACAAAGGGTTGTCTCTGACTGGCTTGAACTGAATTGTTGACGAAGAGAAGATAATAAAAGCTTGAGGAATTAGTATATCTTCGCATGCGTTTGTGTGCTTCTGGCTCTGCTTTATTCGATCCCCACGCGAAACGGTTGTTTTTTCAAAAAAACTTCGCATTATTTACACTTTCTAATTACAATTTTGTCCTCTTCTCCGCTTTGACATGAAGGATCTTTTTTTAATTGAGAAAATTACGGCCGTGTTTGGATCTTATTTTTATTTTTCATTTTTTTTGAGAAAGATAAAATGAAAACGTTTTTAAAACGGCATTTGACGCAATAAAGATAAAAAACGGATTTGAAAATGATTTTTTAGTTTAGTGTAAAATGAGAGAAAAATGAAAAACGACTTTTAATCGTTTTTCATTTTTTGTTTTCGTTTTCTCCTCTCTCGAGCAGAGAGAGGGAGAGAGACATTAATGAGTTTTTTATACTGAAAATAATCTCTTGATAAAATTATCAAACACATTTTTATAAAAATCTCTCCTTTTAATTTAGCTGTGCTTTAATCTCAGATTTGGATAGCTATATATATATAATATATATATATAGTAAAGCTAATAAAAAACAACATTTCTACTTGAGTGTTCGGCAACTTGAATTCCGAACTATGTAAATGATGATACGTTTAGAGTGCATGCATGCAATTTTCCCTAGTGATACGTCTGGGTTAAAGAAATTTACAGAAAAAAAAAGAAAATAAATTTAGAAAAAGTATGGATAGTGTGGGGATACGAGAGAGAAAGAAATTTAAAAACAAGAGAGTACACTAATAATGGAGAATAAAAATGAAGTTTTAAGAATAAAGTAACGAAATAGTTAATAGAAATATTACTAGTTTTAAACATAAAAGAATCGTTTCCACTTACATTAGGTACGTCTGTGCCTGCATGAATGTAAAATAATCAACTTAACACATTGTAAAAGAGCTTGTTAAAACAACACTTTATAAAAAAGAATAATCAAATAAACAAGTCCCTCCACTAAATTTCCAGTAAGGCAAACAAGAAAAGAAACGGTTATTTATTGTTATTACCATACATTATTAGCTTATAAAAAAATACATTCATGTCAAATATTCATCCTTATTTTACGGTTTTCATAAAAAAAAAATTGTTCTTTTGAATTTAAAATTTATGTCAAATATTTGTACCCTTCTGAGTCAACAGAGGATTTCAAGTACGAGTACTTGACGAATTTATCTTTTGTAGTAATTAAATGGCAAATACTAATTAGGAATTATGTCTCAAAAATAAGGAAAAGATAGTACTTGCATTCTCAAGCGAAGCTGTAGACCTTAAGAAATCTTAACCACAGAAATAAGCCACAGAAAATATACGAATTTTAACACGCATATGTGATATCAAAACTTGAAAATATCTAAAACACATAGGGTCATATATTTGATAAACCCAAAATACAGGGTCTTAGAAATAGTAAGAAGAAGTCCGTACCGCGCAGTATAAATTGGGCAAGGCCGTGAGAAACCGTTTATTAGTGTAAAATGAGAGAAAAATGAAAAACGACTTTTAATAGTTCTCTCTCTCTCTATACTGTCTCTCTCTCTCTCTCTACTGTTTCTCTCTCTCTCTCTCTCTCTCTCTGGCGCTCAATCTTCGTCTCTCGTAAAGGGTAAATCATAATCGGTAGTTTCAGTTAGAGTTCAAGCTCAAGGAATTCTACACTGCATTTTCCTCAGGTTTGTTCTCTTTTACGTTAGTTCAACTCTCAACTTGTTTCTTGAATTAGTGAAACTTGGATTCTTGAATGTGTGTTTCCCAAGAAAATGACGATGGGGAAAAAAAGCAAGAACCTGATCAAGATTTGATCAAATTTTTGTAATACTTATTTTTATTTTCTCTTTCTTGTTCGTTTATGTGCTAGGTTGTTCTTTGATTATCAATAGGTTCGTCTACTACACAAATTACGTGACTTTTTCTTTTTTTCATTTTTTTTTTTTTTCATTTCTTGAAGTAGTGAAAAACGCCGATTCTTTGTGTTTGTTTTCTGAGAAAATGACGACCGTAGTTAGGGGAAAAAAGAAATAGTTTATTAATCGGTTGCTGTGTTTGATTCTCATCTGTTTGCATGGTTTTCAAGCAACCAATCGTAACTTGCACCGCATCTTTTTTATTCCTTTGAGATCTTTTGCGTTTTGTTCTTCCATAATTTAATCGTGGTTTTGTACGTAATTCTCAACTTAAATTTTTGATTCTTATCATTTGTGAGGTCCTTCTCATAATGATTTTTCTTTTTCTCTTCAGAACCGTAAATGGTCAATACTTAATTTAATCGTAGTTGCCTTGTTGACGAAATCCAACCTTCTTTACAATTTCTGACCGTTGTGATTTTTTTATTTTTTCCAAATTTTGAATCGAGCGCAGGAATTTTGACCAATCTAAAGCATGGAGAAGGTAAAACAAAGAATTCTGCATTGACCCGTCCCTCTCGTTTTGGTCTTTGCACTAATTAATTAGTTATCCTCTCGCGGATCGATCTGCAGTACAAAAGAGATGGTGTAATAGGAAAGGAGCGCAATTCGCTGAGACAGATTCACAAATATCGCCGTCAAGGTTCTTCTGGTGGATCAGTAGTTGTGAAAAGGTTTATGCTGCAACCAAAGTTGGATGCTTTATCAACAAGGGATGAGGAGGCATCAGCAGATCCTGAAGAAACTGGGGTGCCGATCAAGACACTAAGACAAATTTCCCTTCTTAAAGTGATGCAACATGAAAACATTGTCAGGTATATCTTTACAACAATCCAATCAAGTCACCAAAATCCATCTTTCAGATTACATTTCTTTACTGAAACAATCAAATCTCTATTCTGTACCAGTTTTTCATCTTGTTATTTATAAACAACTGTGTGATCGATTGTGAAATCATAATTCAATGGCTTTTCGGGATGCAGGTTGGTTGAGATGAATTATGAAGATGGAGATAGTCTCGTGCGTCTTGTTTTCGAGTATGCTGACATGGATCTGCGAAATTTTCTTGAAGAGTATGCAGCAAAAGCCAGCGATCAAAAGTTAGTAAAGGTATGACGTCTTATCACACCTGATGAACTTAAGCAGTTTGTTGGATTTTTCCTCAGCTAATTGTCTCAATATTTCTCAACTGCAGAAGCTTCTGTGTCAACTTCTTCGAGGCGTTGCTCATTTCCATTCCATCGGTGCTGCCCATGGAGCATTGAACCCGAAGAATGTGCTGATCGACATTGGGAATGAAAATTTGAAGATTCTTAACATTGCAATGGTAATTATTGAAGATTCCAAACCCCAATTAGTATTTCTTATCAAAGCATCCAGCAGTGATACGATCAAATTGTGTTTACTTATTTATTTATAATATTGGAAATCCTGCATATACATATATATATATATATGTATATATAAATATGTGCGCTGTTATTATTATTATTTGTTTTAACAGCATGTATATATGTTTACGGTTTGCTACGTAGTACAGGACGCAGATGCATTATACACAGCACCTGAACTTCTGCTGGGGTCCACTGAATCATCTCCCGCCGCCGATATGTTCGCTGTTGGATGCATATTTGCTGAAATGGTCAACCGAAGGCCTTTGTTTCAAGGAAAGGCTGCCAACATAAACAATATTTTCAAGTATGACATATATAGTTTGTGTTGTGTTAACCTTAATTTGTTCCCTCTTCTGAATTTTTACCCTTTTTAATTATGTTTAGTTTCTTCTTTCCTTTTTGTTTTCTTAAAATGATTATTTTGTTTCCTTTTTTTGTTTTTGTTTTTGTTTTTTCGTTTGATCCAGTCTTTTGGGCACACCGACCGAAGAAAATTGGCCTGGGGTAAAAGTACACATTAATTCTGGAATACTTTTCTTCTCCAATCCTCCAGCTCTCGAACTCTTCTTTTTAAACTATGGGTTTCTTTATATATGCCTTGCAGAAGCTATCAGAAGTATTCCCCAATCTCGAACCACATGGACTTGACCTCATTTCTGTAAGTATATAAATATATATATATATATATATATATTTTTTTTTTTTCCCCCCCGTTCCCTCAAGATTGAATTTAAATTGATTCTAGTTAACTAACTAATTCGTTTGCCTTTTAATTTTTTCTGTCCAAAATATTTATTCATTTCTCAGCTTGTTTGGCACGTTTACTTGGGCATATTTAAACCTTTTTTTTTTTGGTTTTTTTTTTTATAACCAGAAACTGCTCTGCTTGGATCCAAGTAAAAGGATTAAGGCTTGTGCTGCGCTTAAGCATGACTACTTCAAAGATTTGATTCTTCTTCGTTGATCGGCAGGCCTCTTGAAAGTTGAAAGTTTTGCGTATGCTTTGCTTGCTTGCTTTGGCGCGCGTCACTTTCAAGTTTCAAACCATGATGATGATGATGATCAGACATGTAATTTCATTCATTCATTCGTTTCGAATTATATGATGTGACTTTGTCTATATCACTACTACTAGCAAGCAAATATTTCTTAGAAACCAAACTTGTGACTTGTGACTTTGGTTGCTTATAATTCTTTTAAAAATGAACAAGGCTCTATTAAGCCAATTAAGCAGCATAATTCCTAAATTCAATATCTGCTGCTTTATTAATGTCTCTACTTGAAGTTTAAATATGGGACATTTCGATTACTTACAATATAGTAATGATATGAAGTTTAAATATGGGACATTTGGTTTTGTTAAATGATTCCCAAATGGACATTTCGATTACTTTAAGTCTAAAGATATATATATAGTAATATAGTTATATATTGTCTTTTCTTATCTAGTATGATCAGTAGCAGCAATGATATGAATGACACTTTACTTCCAGAGGTGTTAACTATTATAAGTACGTAAAAAGTGTTTTTGATAACAGTTAACACAAGAGACCTACCTAGATTTATTATGATTAGAAGCTAGCATTTGAGTTGTAAAACTCTCTTATTGTTAATAAAATTTCAATTCAAAGTACAACTTGGCAAACCAAAACAATTCAGCACGGTTCGTCATTTTCAATCTGCTAACGATTTTACTAGTCTAAGAATATTACAAACATTATACACCAAAAATACTAAAAATATATATATAATTTTCATTTTATTAATTAAAATATCTCTAAAAAGTAAATTAGTTTTATTCTAGGTGATAAAATGTATATCTAGAAAGAAATTAAATAACGTAAAGAATTGAAGGTAAATTGTTTTTCAAACTTGCAACATTATAAAAAAAATATATTATTAAAATTTAGCATAAGATATTTATTAAATATTTTTAATTTTCAAATAAAAATTTAAAATAAAATAAAATTCTTTAATTTGATTTGAACGAAATAAAATGAGTTGATTGGGAATTAAGTTTTATTATTAGGATCATTTTAATAAATTTAGACGATGACAGCAGAAGCTGCTGTGAAAAAGCAGCCCCTGACATGCTTCTCAAATTTTGCTATGGGGCAATAGTTTTTAGAAGCTGTTGACAAAAGTAGGTTTTAGGGTTTAGGGTTTAGGGTTTAGGGTTTCGGGTTTAAGCTTATCCTAGGGAAGGAATCTGAATTTGACTCCAACTCCTTCCTAA